AAAAATTGGGGTTTATGATGTTGGTTATTAACATGAAAAGGATGATAGATTGGGGTTTATAATGTTGGTTATTAATATGAAAAGGATATAAATTGAGGTTTATGATGTCAATCCTTAACATGAAAAGGATGAATGATTGGGGTTTATAATGTTGGTTATTAATATGAAAAGGATAAAAATTGAGGTTTATGATGTCAATTATTAACATGAAAAGGATGTGAAATCTGGAGTTTATGGTGTAAACTATTAACATGAAAAGGATGAAAGATTGGGGTTTATAATGTTGGTTATTAATATGAAAAGGATGAAAAATTGGGGTTTATGATGTCAATTCTTTGCATAAAAAGGATGTGAAACCTGGAGTTTATGATGTCGACTATTAACATGAAAAGGATAAAAGACTAGGGTTTATAATGTTGGCTATTATCATGAAAAGTATGAGAAAACTCAGGTTCTTGCCATAGGGCTACTAGTGGCTAGTTGTAAGCCTGGGGCTTAGCATGCCAAGAATTGGGTTTTGATACCTGAGGTGGGCGGAACACAAATAGCCCATTATGTAGCTTTGTGCTTAACAACAAATAAACAAATCATGACTTATATTATTAAAGGAAAAGGATATGAAAACTAGGGTTGATGATGTATGTTATTAACTTGATGTGCATGGTATTAGTCCAGTGGACTGACCTCATATTGGAGAAGAAATGTTGACTGTAATGAACTTACTATGTATATCAACACCAAATGTGGTAAGCTTTGAGTAAAATTTATAAGTCTGTGGAACACAAAAATTCAACTGTGCTAAAAAAAGTATTTGTTCTCAAGATATATTTGTAAATTGATATCAGTCTCATTCAGATTCTGACAAATCGAAATGTAAAGAATGAAAATACTTTTGTCTATTGTACATTTAATATAACCTCTAGAACCTTCAAAAGGCATATTTACAGTTTTTCGCAGTAGCCCTGTATATCTTATCTAGTATTTTCTCACCTCTACTACAAACTTTCACTAAATCAGTAATGTAGGGTAAAATGAATAGTTGATAATGTGGACATAAAATACTTAGGTACCATGTTGAATGGCACTCTATAAAAGGTCATGGCATGTGCACTTTAACCCCCACCCAAGCACCTAGGGTTAATATGAAAATAAGGTGAAAACTTTAGTTATTGACATTATAAAGGTGTGAAAAATGGACTGATTATATAGATTATTAACATGAAAAGGATGTAAAAACTGGGGATTAACATAAGGTTGATATATGTTTAATGCCTTTTTTTAAATTAAAAAACTAAAACAAAGCCTAATCTTGAGAGAAAACTTAAATTATAGTTTCAATTTATAGCATTATGTAATATCAATAGCAAGTGTTTCATTTTTACTAAAAAGTTCAATAGATTTTACTTTTTTATTCTTATATGGCAGACTGTGTATTTGTTGTTTCCAATTTATGAAGAATGTGTTGTTATTTGGAAATGATACATTGTAAGCTCTTAAAAAGCTAAGAATATTCCAAAGTGAAAAGCAGAAAAAAAGAACAAACTGAAACTATTATATTACCAACAAAGTTTTTGTCTTTATTTATTATCTCTATTTTCTGCTTGGTGTTTCAGATGAACCAGGAAAGCCAGGAACTCCAGAACTGGTAGACTGGGATAATGCCAGTGTGGACTTGAAGTGGTTACCTCCTAAAAATGATGGTGGTTCACCAGTCACCAAATACATCATTGAAAGGAAAGAAAAATTCACACTAAACTGGGAAAAAGTAGTTGAAGTACCAGGAAATATGCTGGAAGCTAAAGTTACAGACCTAAAGGAAAGGCAAGAATATCAGTTCCGGGTAGTAGCTGTTAATATAGCTGGAACTAGTGAACCAAGTAATACCACCATCAGTCATCTGGTGAAGCATCGCCAGTGTGAGCACTTTTATATGCTACAGATTATAATTTCTTTTGTTATATTTAAAACTTATATTAGATTTCTAATGGGATTTTCTGTATTTATATTTATAAAATACATTACATTTTTGTGGATAAATTTTCCTTAAGGATAACTTAATCAAAATCAGTGTTGGTAACAAGTTTGGACTCTCCTTACTTTAGCTACAGTTTCCAGATATTCTGCATCAATATTGGTAATGAGGCTGGGTTATCCTTACATTACTTACAGTTTCCAGATATGCTGCATTAATGTTAGTAATGAGGTTGGGTTATCCTTATTTTAGTTACAGTTTTCTGATATGCTGTAACAATGTTGGTAACAAGATTAGGTTGTCCTTGAGGTTTATAATGTTGGTTATGAACATTACCATTAGTGATAAATGAATATTACTACCTGATGTGTTATAAATCTGTATTTTTCTGCACAGTAAAACCCTACATTGACCGAACTAACTTGGACGCTATCACAGCAAAGAGGGGCAAGAACGTCAAACTAGAAGTGAACATTAAAGGAGAACCTCCTCCAAAAGTGACATGGAAGTTTAAGGAAAAAGTAATTTTAAACCATTTTTCTCAAATTTCTTTCATTATACTTGTTTCTTAGACTTAAATGAGTTAACAGTTAAAGGTTACCAAAAAGAAAAATACAAATATCTTGAACCAATTTTTTGAGGAAACATAGTATTTTTGTATGTTTAGAAACATATATGCTGTTAAAAATGGCAAATATTTTCAAATGTGCTGTTGTCTCTTCATTTGTATTTAGCTTTTTCAATTTATTATTCAGTTTATTATTTCTATTCATTACTGGCACAACTCGTGTTTTGGATGAAGGTTCAGGTTTCACATATCTTTAATCACCTTCATGTTTATTGTTTATGTTTACAATATTCAAAATAAGTAATTCTGTGTTTTTGTAATGATAAGAAAACTAATTCTAAAGTTTTAAAAATCTGTAGATTTGTGTGTTGATGATATTTTTTATTTCCCTGGAATTTGTTGGACAAAAGATATGTTCATTCAAGTTTGGATGGTTATCTTTGATAATGTTTTAATTTAGCTTAATATTATTTTATTATTCAAAGTTTTTGATTTCATATGAAAAGATACGGGTATAGAATTACACAAATTTGTTTAAAAGAAAAGCTATTAACTTCTAGCTTGTAGATGGTGGGATTAGTAGACAAGATTTTACCTCTGTTTTTTATCCTACAGATTGTGGAAAACACAGATTCTATTGATATTAGTAATGTTGATTATAACACCAAGTTCACCATTACTGACGTTCACCGTCATCATTCCGGATTTTACACAAATTTTACACAATTACACAAACTTGTTTAAAAGAAAAGCTATCAACTTCTAGCTTGTAGATGGTGGGATTAGTAGACATGATTTTACCTCTGTTTTTTATCCTACAGATTGTGGAAAACACAGATTCTATTGATATTAGTAATGTTGATTATAACACCAAGCTCACCATTACCGACGTTCACCGTCATCATTCCGGATTTTACAAAATTATAGCAGAAAATGAAGTTGGCAAAGATGAAGCTGAGGTTGAAATAACAATTTTAGGTACATTTGATTGGAAATTTTCATTTTTGCATTGCCTTATAACTGGATAGTTAATAAAAATGAATTATTAAGATATTGGTTTCTCTGGTATGTTTATCTTTATGTTTTAACTTTATAAATTTAATAATCAGTCAATGTGAAAATATTGAAAAGTAGACCCCCTTTAGCTATTTAATTTTACTTTTAGAACCTTTTGAAATTTTGTATTGAACACTTTGGTAAAATGGTTATCTAATAACCTCAGGCACCAGTTCCACCTCTTTTGTAGTTTTCCAGTTTCTTTGTAGCTACTGTAATAAAATTTGAATGCACTTGCTGGTTCCCAGTGATATAAGTATAGAATATAAGGCTTCTGATATTTGTGTTACTTGCAAAGCTTCTTATTATCTCTATTCTCCAACTCTTGTCTTTTTTAACTGTGTATTGGACCATCTGGAAATGTAAATAAATAGCATTTACAGTTACAGTAAAAACCAGGCAAGCTTGAATAGGATTCCTTTAATACATTACTTGAAATCTGTTTTAGATGATGTGATTAAAAAAATTACACAATAAATCTTGTAGTTAATAAAAAGTCAGTGTTGCAATTTTGTGGGTGAAACTTGGCATGTTTATTTGAATGTAGGGACTCCCTCAAGACCTCAGGGCCCTCTGAAAGTTGAGGATGTTCATGCCAAGGGATGTAAGCTGAAGTGGAATAAGCCAGAAGATGATGGTGGCAAGCCCATACAACATTACCTTGTGGAAAAACTGGACCTGAGTAGTGGAAACTGGATGCCTGTTGATCGCACAGACTCTGATAAACCAGAAATGGAAGTAAAAGGACTACTTACTGGAAAAGATTATCAGTTCCGTGTGAAGGCTGTCAATCCAGAAGGAGAATCTGAACCCCTTATTGCAGATACACCCATAAAGGCTAAAAATCCTTATGGTATATGCTCAGACTTACAGGATAGCTTTTTTACCATAATGTATTAATATATAGGACTTCTAATTGTTTACCCCTACACAGAGTACTTTTTTTTTCTTTTTAGTTATTAATTCATAAGCTCTACAAGTGACTAAAGCATTGATATTTTCAAATAACATAAGGCTTTTAATACTTTATATTATTCTTTAACTGTGGATAATGACTGTATTTATGTATTATGTTTCACTTCTAGAGAATCTAACATACAGTTGTTTAACATGTTTTAAATAGATGAGCCTGGAGCACCAGGAACACTGGAAATTGTAGACTGGGATGAAAAGAGAGTTGACCTCAAGTGGGAGCCACCGAGAAAAGATGGAGGAGCACCTATTACATATTATATTATTGAAATGAAAGAACGTTTCTCAACAAATTGGGATACCTGCTTAGAAACAAAGAGCTCAAAACCAGAAGCCACAGTCTTGGACTTGACTAAAGGTCAACAGTACCAATTTCGTGTTCTTGCTGTGAACAAAGCAGGACCAGGACAACCTAGTGAACCAACAGGAAACCATGCTGTTAAATCAAGATACCGTAAGTCATGAAAACCAATCACCTTAACATACTGAGATTTTGTTATGTTTCTTAACAATTCTGAGCCAGATGAATAGATAAATGCAACCATTCTAGCAAGATATAAAGTGCAGGGCCTCTCATGGTACTTAGCAATATCAAAATGGGTTGGAAGTTGTACATTAAAATGATGTGGTACATTTAGGAATGGATCATCCATTTAGCTTTTGGGTTTTGCAGATTTATCTTCAAGAATCGGTTATAAGAAATATCTTTCTAGATTCCCTATACCAAGGTGCACTATGCAGCTGCCTTCTCTTGAAGCCAGCTCCAGCAAGAAGTTAATAGTATGCAGCATTCTAAAACAGATTAATCAAGAATAATCAGTGGGACAACAAATAGTTGGGAAGATAGGTTAATATAGGGTAGTAAGTGGACAAGGAATAGTTAAAATAACAGATTAATATGGGGTTGTCAGTGATATAGGAAATATTCAGTAGGATAGGTTAATATGGGATAATCATTGGGACAGGAAAGAGTTAATAGGATAGGTTAATATGGGTTAGTCAGTAAGATAGGTTAATATGAGGTAGTTAGTGGGACAGGAAGTAGTCAGTGGAATAGGTTAATATGGGATAGACAGCAGGATAAGTTAATATGGGATAGACAGCAGGATAAGTTAATATGGAGTAGTCAGTAGGACAAAAAGTTGTCAGTAGGATAAGTTAATATGGGGTAGTTAAGTGGGAGAGGAAGTTGTCAGTAGGATAGGTTAATATGGGGTAGTTAAGTGGGAGAGGAAGTTGTCAGTAGGATAGGTTAATATGGGGTAGTTAAGTGGGAGAGGAAGTTGTCAGTAGAATAAGTTAATATGGGGTAGTTAAGTGGGAGAGGAAGTAGTCAATAGGATAGGTTAATATGGGGTAGTTAAGTGGGAGAGGAAGTTGTCAGTAGGATAGGTTAATATGGGGTAGTTAAGTGGGAGAGGAAGTTGTCAGTAGGATAGGTTAATATGGGGGAACTTCCTCTCCCACTTAACTAATATTAACCTATCCTACTGACAGAATACTCAGACAGAAAGAAATGAGCATGACAGGTTAAGATAGTCAGGGCAACAGGAAGTAATTACTAGGAAATGCTAATATGGGATACTTATTTGCATTTCAGCAACTTGTTCTTGTTGTCTGGACAACCCACAAAACCAGATATGAAACTTTTTTTTTTTATCTGAGAATATCATTTAAGTTTTAGAAGTAAATTGTTTGGATAAGTTAAACTTCAGTTATTTCTGCTTTGATATTGCTGTTGATTAAAGTCTTATTCCCTCAAAAGCTGTGAAAAAAGCACAATCGAAGTTTGCCAATTAACTTAAATTGAAACAGTGGGGAAAGAATGTATAAGTACAGTTGTTTAATATATCTGCTTTTACTAATACTTTCTCTTCAAACTAAGTTAGGAAAAAATATCCAAAAACAGTAAGTCAGTATTTACTTAAAATGAGTATCTATATAAATATAATAGTACTGTGTTATCTGTCCATGTAACTACTATGCAGGGTATGGGTGGATCTTCATCAAATTTGGTATGGAAGCTCATTAGGTCTATGTGGGGGTACATACAAATTTTCAGTTCTGCATTTTGCAGTTTTTATGGGAATTTTTGCAGTTTTTACCACTACTTCACCTTCTGTAGATGAATCTTCACCAAATTTGGTGGAGGTTCATTGGGTCCATGGAGATCTCTCATACAAATTTTCAGTTTTGTGTTTTGCAGTTTTTATGGGCATTTTTGCATTTTTTACCAACACATTGCCCCCTGTTGGTAGATCTTCACCAAATTATGTATAGTGGTTCATTGAGTCCATGGGAAGATACATACAAATTTTCAGTTTTGCATTTTGCAGTTTTGATGACCATTTTCATGTTTTGTTACCACTAATTTGCCCCTTGTTGATGGATCTTCATCAAATTTGGCATTAATGTTTTTTGGGTCCATGTGGAGATAGATACAAATTTGTGGTTTGACATCCTACGGTTTGCAGTTTTTATGGGCATTTTTGCAATTACATATAAGGGAAGCAACTTTTCATGTCCTAAGATAACCTTTCATTAATCATGAATTTACATGATTTCCATCTAGGGGACAGGTACTCCAGCTAGTTTTATTAATGTTTTGAGTAACATATGGTTATCTCTTACAGGAAAAACCATAATAAAACAAAAACAAAAACATCTTATGAACACTTTTAAATCTTTAATTAAGTCTTATTACTTTATTACTAATAAAACCTTATAATATGATGAAATTTGTCTTAATTATTTTGTGTATTTAAATCATGATGTCTTTTGATTTCATAGTGGCTCCAAAGATCAACCGTGATAACCTGGAACCAATAACTGTTCGAGCTGGCCACTTGGCTAAGCTGGATGTGGAAGTTATTGGAGAACCCTCTCCAAAATTGACATGGTCTTTCCATATGAAAGAACTTTTACCTGGTGAGAAGATCAAAATTGAGAATGAAGACTATCAAACACACCTACGTTTAAGCAGTTTAGCTCGGAAGGATTCTGGGAAGTACAAGATAACTGCAGTCAACAGTTCTGGTAAAGATGAGGAAGAGATTGAAATAATTGTACAAGGTAATTTTTGTTTTATTTTAGTGGCCATGTATCTCACTTTGTGTTCTTGTTAGCCAATGTATATCTTTTATAAACCGTTTTTAAACAGTTAAAATTAATAATGACCAGATTCTTATATGTTCCATTTCTGAACAATAATAGAAAATACGTTTATAGACATGTAACAAAATTTTTTTAAAGTTATATTAAGCTCTGTTTCAACTTTCTGGATTTGTTACCAACATCAGATGGTAAGTGTATAGAAGAGGTTAAAAGGAGAATAATGCTTTTTAAGAATACGTTTCAAAATGTGAAAGCTATTTTGACAAATAAAAATATGTCAATAGAAGTAATGTCTTATAGTAGTACATCCAAACCATACTTACGTATGTATGCAAAACATGGACGATAACAAAGGAAGCCATGAGAATACTTGAAGCAGCCTAAATATAGTTTTTAAGAAGAATGTAGTGAATAGCATGGATTAATAAGAAAGTAAAAAATAAGTACAAGCCAACAGAACATACATCATTATCAAGAAGATATGAAAGAGACAAGTTGGACATAGTAAAAACCAGCAAGATAGAAGAAAAGGGAATTAAAGGAAGACAAAGAATAAAGATGCTTGGTGGGCTCGCAAAATGGTTAGGAAATCTGAATAATAACACAAAATTATTGAAGAACACCAGGGACAGAGAAAGATAGAAAGTCATGATTGGCAATGCATTCCATGCAGGCATGGCACTGGAGAAGAAGAAGCTAGGTGTTTTTCATATAATTTTTATCTTAAAACTAACCTCAGTTTAAAATAAAAGGACATACTTTTTATTTATTAAAATTTATACATTTAAAACATAAAGTCATATCTTAGACAGAATTTGGTTTTTAACTTCCAGATATTTTTATGCTTCTGTATTCTAGACAAACCCTCTACTCCAGAAGGTCCTTTGGAGGTGTTAGATGTTCATGCTGAAGGATGTAAATTGAAGTGGAACAAGCCAAAGGATGATGGTGGTCTTCCTCTGGATGGATACATAATTGAGAAAATGGACACTTCTACCAGTCGCTGGGTCCCTGTTGGCAGAGCTGACAAAGATAATCTAGAAATGACTATTACTGGACTTGAACCTGGAAATAAGTACCAGTTTCGAGTAAAAGCTGTTAATGAAGAAGGAGAATCAGAACCATTAGAAACAGAAAGGACAATGCTCGCAAAGAATCCTTATGGTAAGTTCTTGGCTTTTATACGTTATAAATCACACAATATTTCAAGTAATTGTCATTGAACTCTTATAACTTCTCTTTTGATTCCACTCAAAAGTGTCAAAATTCTGTTGACTGGCAAGAATTAATGCAATAGGAACTTGATATTTGTTATATTTACTGTGGAAAGCATTTAGATAAATAGCACCAGAAATAGTAGGTTTTGTAACATGTGCCTGTTCCCAGATGTACCTGGACCCCCAGGACTTCTGAAGATCACTGACTATGATTCTGATTTTGTTCAACTTAACTGGGAAACCCCAGTGAATGATGGTGGGTCACCAATTAATGGATACGTCATTGAAAAGAAAGATAAGTATAAAGTTACCTGGATATCCGCTGCCGAGATTCAAGGGAACATTCCACAAGGCAAGGTTAAGGGATTAAATGAAGGAGACAAGTATGAATTCCGTGTCCGAGCTTTCAATAAGGCAGGCTCTGGTGAACCTAGTGAGGCTACTCCCCCACATCTGGCAAAATCAAAATTTTGTAAGTAATTTTGTTCATGTGTCTACTAATTATGAATGACATGTTGATGTTATGGTAGTGTGACTTTGGTTTATTTTGACTCTTAAGTTTTATTAAATCCTAATAACATTTCTCACTTGTTTCTGAACATTCTATGGGAAAGATATCTAATGTTCAAGTAAGTTAATGACATACATAACATAATCCCATTACACAAAGAATTAGTGTTGAACATAAGCCTGACTGTTATATACAGAACCACTGTGTTGAACGTACTCTTGATTGTTACACAAAGAATCAGTGTGTTTAACATAATCCTGACTATTACACAAAATATAATTGTTGGACATATTCCTGACTGTTACACATAAAATCAGTGTTGAACATAGTTCTGACTATTACATAAAGAATCAATGTGTTGAACATAATCTTGATTACTACACAACATATAAATGTTGAACATAGTCATAATTATGACACAAAATATAAGTGTTCAACATAGTCTTGATTGTTACACAAAAAATCAGTGTTGGACAGTTCTAATAATTATACAAAGAATCAGTGTGTTTAACAGAATTTTGACTATTATACACAAAAATCAGTACAGAACATAATATTTTTGGTTATAACTGATCAATATGGTGTGATGACCATGACCTTAACCAATATAGTATGTTGAGCACAATTTTGACCATTGCAGTGTATTGAGCATAATTCTGACCATTGCAGTGTATTGAGCATAATTTTTATTATCAGCTAGAGAATCAGTGTGTTCAACATAATCCTTGCAATTAGACAAAGAATCAGTGTGTTCAACATAATCCTTGCAATTAGACAAAGAATCAGTGTGTTCAACATACTCTTCACTACTACAGAGAATTGGACATAATCTTGACCAGTACATTGTGTTGGACATAATCCTGACCAGTACAGTGTGTTGGACATAATCCTGACCAGTACATTGTGTTGGACATAATCCTGACCAGTACATAGAGTTGGACATAATCCTGACCAGTACAGTGTGTTGGACATAATCCTGACCAGTACATAGAGTTGGACATAATCCTGACCAGTACAGTGTGTTGGACATAATCCTGACCAGTACATAGAGTTGGACATAATCCTGACCAGTACAGTGTGTTGGATATAATCCTGACCAGTACATAGAGTTGGACATAATCCTGACCAGTACAGTGTGTTGGATATAATCCTGACCAGTAGAATGTGTTCGACATAATCCTGATCAGTACAATTTGTTGGGCATAATCCTGACCAGTACAGAGTATTGAATATAATCTAGACCAGTACAGAGTGTTGGACATAATATTGACCAGTACAGAGTGTTGAACATAATATTGACCAGTACAGATTGTTGAACATAATCTTGACCAGTACAGAATGTTGGACATAATCCTTGCCAGTTCAGTGTGTTGGACATAATCCTGACCAGTACATTTGTTAAATATAATCCTGACCAATATGATGTGTTGGACATAATCTTGACCAGTACAGAGGAATAACGATAGTAAAGTTTATTAATTTCATATAAAAAATTATTTAAAAGTGATTTTTATTATCATTTAATAAAATATTAATTTTTCTTCTTAGTGAAACCTTGCATTGACCAAGTGAATCTTGACCAGTACAGAGGAATAAAGATAGTAAAGTTTATTAATTTTGTAAAAAAGTTGTTTAAAAGTGATTTTTAGTATCATTTAATAAAATATTAACATTTCTTCTTAGTGAAACCTCGCATTGACCAATCGAATCTGAACAATGTGACAGTAAAGGTAGGACAGGTTGTAAACTTAGACGTGAATGTGATTGGTGAACCACCTCCCAAAGTTGAGTGGATGTTGAATGACAAAGTCTTGGGGTCAAGTGACAGTTATAAAATTGACAGTGTGGATTACAACACCAAGTTCAGTATCTTACGTGCCACTCGCAAGGAGAGTGGCTTGTATAAGATTCTGGCAACCAACAGCAGTGGCAGTGATGAATGTGAAGTGGAAATCACTGTCTTAGGTTAGTGAGTTAAGTATACTGAGAAACAGAGAATTTAAAATGTTGAATAACATTAATATCTCCTTTCCTACTTTTCTACAGCTGTTAACATAATTGCAGTTTGTTTTTTATGGCTTGCATTTATACCAAACAAAATATGCCCATTTAAGACTTGTAATATCAATTATTAATTGTTTTTGTTTGTTTGTAGTTAAGCACAAAACTGTACAATGGGCTATCTGTCCTGTACTCACCACAGATATTGAAATACAGTTTTTAGCATTGTAACCCTTAAATTTAGTGTTGAGCCACTGGATGATGTTAATTTTGCGAGAAGCCTGTATGTTGTGTTCACAATCTTGTTACTACAGGTAAACCAGGCAGGCCCAATGGTCCTCTTGAAGTGTCCAATGTCCACAAGGAAGGCTGCAAGCTGAAGTGGCAGGAACCTGACGATGATGGAGGAACACCAATAGAATGTTATGAAATTGAAAAGAAGGATGAAGACACTGGCATATGGGTTCCAGCTGGAAAGTCCAGACATATGAACTTTGAGGTTAAGAATCTGGTCCAAGAAAAGAAATATCATTTTCGCGTAAGAGCAGTTAACAAGGAAGGAGATTCAGATGAACTGGAAACTTCCCTTGCTACTCTTGCTAAAAATCCTTATGGTATGTTTAACTAATGATGATTTATTTATTTTCATTTTACTCTGTACTTTGTTTGATAATGCACAGGTATAGCAAAGACCTTTTGACCAAGTTTTGGGTTATGAGAATAACACACTTAAGCATGTTGTAGTTATTTGTGTAATTTATATCCTATAATTTACCAAAGAATACTTTGATTGCAGATAGTGTGTTGTATTTTCATGAACATAGCTGTTATAAGAGGTTGACACATGTTCTGTAATGTGCAAGACAATGCTTTAATTGAAGATAGTGTGTTGTATTTTCATGAACATAGCTGTTATAAGAGGTTGACACATGTTCTGTAATGTGCAAGACAATGTTTTAATTGAAGATAGTGTGTTGTATTTTCATGAACATAGCTGTTATAAGAGGTTGACACATGTTCTGTAATGTGCAAGACAATGCTTTGATTGCAGATAGTGTGTTGTATTTTCATGAACATAGCTGTTATAAGAGGTTGACACATGTTCTGTAATAAGAAAGAGAATGCTTTAATTGTAGCTAGTTTGTTGTACTTTCATGAACACAGCTGTTATAAGAGGTTGACCATATGTCCTATAATTTATCAGAAAATGCTTTAGTTGCAGGTAGTGTGCTGTACTTTCAAGAACATAGCTGTTATAAGAGGTTGACCACATGTTTTATTATGTATCAGAGAATGCTTTAGTAGAAGATAGTATTTTCGTGGACAGAGGTGTTATAAGAGGTTGACCACAATTTTTCAGATGAGCCAGGAAAGCCTGGACGTCCAGAACCAGTGGACTGGGACAAAGACCATATTGACCTTAAGTGGAGAGCACCAGCAAGTGATGGAGGATCTCCTATAACTGGATATATCATTGAAAAGAAAAAGAAAGATTCTCATAAATGGCAGAAGGGTAAACTTCTGTCAGGAGACAAGACAATAGCTACTGTAACAGAAGTTGAAGAGGGAGATGAGTATGAGTTCAAAGTCATTGCTGTGAATAAAGCTGGTCAAAGCGAACCAAGTGATTCATCCAAATATGTTATTGCAAAACCGAGGTTCCGTAAGTGTAACAACATTGAACACTTATTATATGTTTTAATAAAAAAATTTTACATCTTATTGGGAGGTTTATATATTGTAACATGAACAGCCATTAAATTATACATTTTCAGATGAGATATTTTTAGAAAGCATGTTTTTATGGCAGTTGTTGTACTTTGTAATTAAGGACAGCTTTATTGCAGTTCATTGTATCATAGCTTGTTTTTACTTTAGTGAATACTCTATATATTTTTTATGTCCTGTAAAGAGCATTTATGTGTATGCTCAAGTTCAAAATTCATTTGTTTTATCTTAATATAATATTGTTCTTCTGCTTCTTCTTATTGTTTTCTAGAACCAGATGATTTTACAATATTTTGTTGCCTTTGTAGCTATTTTTTTCATCCTAGAAAAAGTTGCTGTTTTAGTTTTAAAGTTCTTAATTTTGTATTCTTTGATATAATATTTGTGTAATGGAGGATTATTAATTTCTAAAGAATGGCCTTGGATTTTTTTATTGTACACTAACAAAAGGAAATCCAGAAATCTACATCTTTTTAGTAAACCAGTGTCAAAATCTTCACTTTATATTTGTAAAGTTATATACCTTCATTACAAACATCTTACTTGTCTGTTCACCTTTTATTAGTTAAAACCTCCATCTTATGTTTCTAATGTTATGTACCTGCATCAGAAATGTCTTATATGTTTGTACAACTTGTATTAGTTAAAACCTCAACCTTATGTTTCTAATGTTATGTACCTGCATCAGAAATGTCTTATATGTTTGTACAACCTGTATTAGTTAAAACCTCAACCTTATGTTTCTAATGTTATGTACGAGCATCAGAAATGTCTTATATGTTTGTACAACCTGTATTAGTTAAAACCGTCACCTTATGTTTCTAATGTTATGTACCTGAATCAGAAATGTCTTATATGTTTGTACAACCTGTATTAG